TATTTGGCCAAAAGGGAGCCAAATAAATGGGAGGGTCCTAAAATCTCTACTGTTGTAAAAGTCCTAGTCAACCCCAGAATTGTCCCCAAAAATATTACAGCCAAGTGAGGGAGCTTAAACCATAGCCACGATAAGCAAGAACTGAGATTGTGCAGCCAGACCCCAAAACTCCCTGCCAGCTAGCTTCAAAGGCTCCCCTGGTCTTTTTGTTAGCCTTACAGTAAGCCAACCCCGCATTTTATGTAACCAACCTAGCTGAACCCCACTTAACCCTGTCACGGTGGTTTAAACTTTACAGACTGTAAATATAGCACAGGCTGTGGAGCCGGCCTGCCTGGAGTCAGACCTTGGTTGCCCTGCACACTGACAGTGCCACCTTGGCGACGTGCTGTGAAGGACCTACTTCACAGGGCTGTTGGGAGACTCAAATAAGATAACCTGGTAAGCACTCAATAAATATTATTTATTACTAATTTGATGAAGGGATTATGGGGACTTTTTGGTATGGTTATATATTAATCTATGATCATTTTAAAGTAATAATATATTAGTGAAAGTGGCATCAATGTAAGAAAACCATTCTGAAGCTATTATCTAAGTGAATGCCTTCAAAGAACAGCTGTACTGAAAGACAAGTGTTGCTGTGCAACTAGACAGGCATAAAGAAAAGGCATGTATAAATTACTTTCAATGTTTCATTCTCCTACTGGATATTAATAAACTAGAGTCAGTGTTTTAGTATCCTGGGTGATGGTTCATGGGTGCATATTATTTAAAATAGGTTAATCAAAAGCAGGTCACACACAGACCAATGAAAAGTGTACATATGAACCAAGGATTATAATTAATCCAATTCTGTGCACCTGAAGTCCAAAAAAAAGGGAAAAAAGATAGCAAAAAGAAGAAAGGGAATGGATCATTACCAAGTGATATTAATAAAGTCCAATGTGACAATTAAAGTAACTGACAAGAGAACTGTGAGATATTAAAGACAAAATAAGATTATTACATAAGTATTTAAAAGTTAAACACCGCATCACACACAAAAATTAACTCAAAATGAAGAAAAGACCTAAATGTAAGAGTTAAAACTATAAAACTTAGAAGAAAACATAGGGGGAAATCTTCATGACACTGGATTTAGCAATGATTTCTAGGATATAGGATAAATTGGACTTCATCAAAATGAAAAACTTTTGTGCATCAAAGGACACTATAAACAGAATAAAAAAGGCAGCCCACAGAATGGGAGAAAATATTTGCAAATCACGCATCTAATAAGGGATTAATATCCAGAACATACAAAGAACTCCTAAAACTCAACAAAACAACCACCCAATTCAAAAATGGGTAAAGGACTTGAATAGACATTTCTCCAAAGAAGGCAAACAAACAGCCAATAAGCACATGAAACAATGCTCAGCAACACTAATCGCTGATGTTGATGTGATCTGATATCACTGTACACTCATTAGGATAACCGTTTTTTTAAAAAAACAGAAAACAACATGTGTTGGCAAGAATGTGGAGAAACTGGAACCCCGGAACACTGCTGTTGGGAATATAAAATGGTGTAGCCACTGCGGAAAACAGTAGAGTTCCTCAAAAAATTAAACATAGAATTACCATACAATACAGCAATTCCACCTCGGGGTAGATATCTAAAAGAATTGAAAGCAAGGTCTCGAAGACATATCAGTACACCCATGTTCATCATAGCAGCATATTCACAATAACAAGGAAACAACCAAAACATTCATTGACAAATGAATAGATAAGCAAAATGTGGTTTATACACACAATGAAATATTATCCAGCCTTAAAAAGGAAAGAAATTCTGACACACGCTATAACATGGATAACTTGAAAACATTACGCTAAGGGAAATAAGCCAAACACAAAAGGACAAATACTGTATGATTCCACTTATATGAGACACCTGGAATAGTCAAATTCATAGAGACAGGAAGTAGAATGACGATTACCAGAAGCTGGAAGGAGGGAGGAAAGGGGACTTATTGATCCATGGGGACAGAGTTGCAGTTTGGAATGATGAAAAAGTTCTGGAGATGGATAGTGGTGATGGATGCGCAACAATCTGAATGTACTTCAAGCCACTGAACTGTACACTTAAAAATGGTAAATTGTATGTTATGTATATTTTATCTCAATAAAAAAGTTAAACAAAAATTATAGCATTATATGGCAAAACCAAAGAGATGAATAACTAAAAGAACTGGCAACGAGTCCTAGAGAAAAATCAAGCATTTTTCTTCACTCTAAATATGAATAATTTGAGGAAGGAATACCAAAGACTGGAAACGGACTAAGCTTGGTACCTGTCTGGACTGGTTCTGCAGAGTGTGGAGTATGCTCACCACCCAAGGCTGCTGGGCCAGGGGAAGCGGTGATGACAAGGAGCAGAACTAAGGAACTCTAAAATCAGTACCAAACGGAATCGTTTCCAGGGAGTAGACAAAAGTAATAAAGCTCCTAGCTGCTATAACATGGATCCCTTTCTCCATCCAACGACAGGAGATCTAACTAGTTTAAAATAAAGCCAAAAACCAATACACTAATGGAACAGCAGAGTCCAAAATTTACCGCAAATATACAGTTACCTAACTTGTGACAAAGGTCACAAACAGTGCTGAAGCAACTGGACATCTAAGTGAAAAAAACATATATGACTCCTACTTCACAACATTACACAACATATAAATCACAGAGGAACTGCAGATCTGAATGGGAAGAGTAAATCTACAAAGCATTTAGAGGAAAGCACAAGAGAACATCTTCATAACCTTGGAGAAAGCAAAGATTTCTTAAAAGGACATTAAAAAGTATTGAGAATTAAAAAAAAATTTGACAAAGTGAACTACATTAGAATTAAGAATTTCTGCTCATTAGAAGATATCATTAAGCCAGCGAAAAGGCATCCACAGACTGGAAAAAAAATTTGCAATATATGTATCTGACCAAGGTATCAGATCGAGAATAATTAGAGAACTCTCACAAATCAATATTGAAAAGACAAACTATTCTAAAACTAGGAAAAAGATGAAGACACTTAAAGATTTCCAAATGACCAATAAACATATGAAAAGGTGCTCAAACTCATTAATCATCAGAGAAATGCAAATAAAATCTTTTATGCAATAAATACTATGACACACTTACTAAAATGGCTAAAATAAAAAAGGAGAGAAAATACTGTGTTGTAAAGATGGGAAGCAACCACATCTCTCATACAACCACTCTGGCAAACTGTCTAAAAGTACCCACCAAAGAGGAACAAACGTACAATCAATAACCTAGCAGCTCCACTCCTAGGTACATACCTAACAGAAAAGCATACATATGTTCACCAAAAGCGTGTATAAGAATATTCATAGCCAAAACCTGGAAACTACTGAAGCACCTACCCACAGTAAAATAAAAATAAATTGTGCTATAGCCACACAACTACAGCACTGAAAATGAATTATAACCACACACAACATGGAGGAATTCCACACTGCTGAGTGAAAGAAACCAGGCACCAAAGAGTGCATTCTCTAAGCTTCCATTTATATACAAGTTCAAGACTAAGCAAAACTCATCTATTAAAGTAGGGAAGGGGTTACTCGTGGTGGAGGGGAGAGTAACCGGAAAGAGAAAGAGGATAGGCCTCCGGGATGCTAGTCATACTGTTTCCCAATCTGGGTTCAAGATTACACAGGTGTGTTTAGTTTGAAACGCTTCAAGCGTACACCTACGATTATGCCCTTCTCTGTTTATTCTAGCTTCAATAATAAAATTAAACTTAAACTAAATATGCTGTATCAAATTCCACTAGTTCAGACTCTGTATCTCCTCTTTATTTCAAGGTATGACTTGGCAAAGTGATTCTCAATGTTCAACATCAATAACTACACAAACTAGGCAATTCTAACCCAGAATTTTTTCACCTCAAACCGAGAGTGTGACTGAATTTGAGAGAAGTTGGTTAGAAGAGGGGAGGGGTAAACAGAAATACATAAAATTGACATATTTTACACTGTTATGAAAACATAAACAATTAAAACGTGTTCTCGTGCATCAGGAAAAGGGACAAGCATCAAAGCAGATTTCTAAGGCCACGCCTGCTTCCCGACCCCTGCCAGCAGCACAGACCAAATAGGGGACCAAGTAAGGATGCCTCCCACAAGAAGTCGCTTCCAGAGCACAAAGGACTTCTGGTCAGCCCCTCAATCCCATAAATCGCCGGTCTTCCCACCCCAAACGGCAGGTTTCGGCCCTCAGGCAAGCTAAGCTGGGCTGCCACGGCGCGGGGGGCCGGAAGGGGTGCGCTACCGCACCGGGACGGCTGGGCTGCGAGGCCCGCGCCACCCCCGCCCCCTAGCGCCTCCACCTGCGCCTCCACCTGCCTCCCGCGCCCGCCCGAGCGGCCCCCGCCCGGAGGTCAGGCAGAGCGCGGGCGGTGAGGGCGCAGGGGGCACCGCGGCGTCCCCGCGGGAGGACAGGCGATTCGACCCGACCCTTGAGGGAGGGCGTGGGGCGCAGGACGGCGGGCGGGATGAGGCGCCGAGGGCGGGACGGGGCAGAGGGGAGGCCGCCGCGGGGACCCGAGGTGGGGGACGGAGGATGGCAGCCGTCGGGGCGGAGAGGGGCACGCCCGGGGAGCCAGGGGGCCGCGGGGACCGAGCCCAGGGGGCGGGGTGGGGCCGCTGGGGACATAGGGGGCAGCAGGGGCCGAGCCCAGGGGTCACGGGAGGCCAGCGCGGGGGCTGGAGGGAGCCGCGGGGGCACAGGGGGCGAGCTCGAGGGCGGCGAGCGCGGGAGGCGGGCGGGCGCCGAGGGGGGCGAGCGCGGGGGACACGGGGGGCGAGCCGGCGGGGCGGGCAGGCGCCGCGGGGGCCCTGAGGCGGGCTTGGGGGACAGAGGGAGCCCGGGGGGCGGGCGGGGCCGCGGGGGCACGGCGGCGAGCCCGGGGAGGACGGCCGCCTCCCGCCGCTCACCGTGGACTCCCGCACTTGGCTGTGGAAGTGCTGCTCCCGCGCCGACACCTCGTCCTGCCCTTCCATCCTCCCTCATGCCCGCCGCCGCGCCGCCCGCGTCCGCGCGCTCCGCCGCACCATCGCCCGCCGGCCGGGGACGGGAGCGGCTCACCGCAGCCGCAGCAGGGACCGTGACCACGACCGGCCGCCACCTCACGCTAAGCCGCTCCGGCTGCGGAGGGCGGGCGCCGCGCGGGCCGGGGCGGGGCGGGGTGGGGCCTGACGTCAGAGGAAGGCGCCACGCGTCAGAGGAGCGCGCCGCGTCCTCCGCGGGGCCTGAGGCCGCAGGCCGGGAGGCTCAGGGGGCGGGGGCCTGGAGGGGCGGGGCCTGGGCGACTAGGGGCGGAGCTTTGGGCCACGCCCCCAAGGGCTGAGGCTGGCAGAGGCCGCGGGAGGCCGGCCCGGAACCGGCCAGGATGCGATGGGGGCGGGTTTGTGGGGCGCGTTCTCCCACCCGTTAGGGTCGAATAATGGCAGTGGGCGGGCCGGCGCAGTCTCGGCGCTCTCGTTCCCCAGAGGAGTTAATCGTTTATGGCAACTCCAGTGAGTGCCCCCAGCCCGGCACCCGGCACTCAGCACTCAGCACCCAGCACTCAGCACCCAGCTCAGCCTGCAGAGCCCTTGGGCAGAGTCGAGCGGGTCTCCCACGGAAACTCACTCAAGCGCGGTAGGCACAGGTCAGAAATCGGTTGTTTCAGAACACGCTTTGGGCGGAAACCCCGGAAACCTGGCTTCTCTGCGTCTGATAAGGGGTTGGGCTGCCACAGGTCTCGGCCTCCCCCAACTGGAAAACGTAGATAGCCTCGAATGTGAGGCCCTTGCCCAGTCGTTGAGTAGCCCGCTTCCTAGAGCGGTTTTATGACCTTCCGGAGACCCTCGAGAGCACGTTTAGTTGGGGGACTGCCAACCATGCACAACACAATAATTCACGCCCATCCTGCATTAAGTATCTTTTTGTTGTTGTTGTTTTTGCTATAAAATTGAGTTGGAAGGAATAGTTATCATTTTACTTTTGGATTTATTTGGCTAGAAGGAGGTCATTTAAATTTCTATTGGCTGTGAATTTTTTTGGCATCTCTAATTGAGAATTCTTAGGAAGCAAGAAAATCTACAAATTGCTTTCAAATGATTCTTATGATATATATTTATTTAGGTTTTGCGGTATCTTTTTGCAATCTTGAGTTAAAATTTTTTTCACAACTCAAACTTTTTTATGGCCCCTGAAAAGCTGTGCCAAAGACTGTGCCTGCGATGCGCTATACCTGAAAATGTGGGTAGTGGGAACACTCAGAGAACGTGAGACTGGTTCTGGTGAGTGTCCCTGCTGTCATAGGCTGATAAGAAACCGGGAATAACTTCCAACTGGTTAAATTCAGTGTTCACCTTTATTTCTAAAATGTCTCCGTACCCTGGAGAACCCGGGAAAGACACAGAAGTATCTGAGTCTGTTTTTCTGGACACCCGGGTTCTGAGAGCTGGGTAAATACCCACCTGAACTGACCTGGATAATTTCTGGGTTAATGTCTCCAAACCAGAGGGTCAGCAGATCAGCTTTTAAGGTGTGTGGCATTCAGACACGTATCCCAGAAAGTGGATGTGTGCGGCATTTCTGATCTTTCTAACCCAAAACTCCAACCATCTAGACCTTTTCATTTTCTTTAATGCAGTTGTCTATAGAGGCTCACCCACCTTTGATCTTAGTTGTTTCCCTCTCTTTGGTACTTACAACACTTAATCTAGGATAGCAGATTTCAAAAATGGCTATAAGCTTACCCCTCCCTATGCACTTGCCTGTTCGCCTCATGGCTTTGCCCCTCCTTCATTGAGAAGTGGAGTCTAGGGCCAGCCCCTGTGGCCTAGTAGCTAAGTTCAGTGTGCTCCAGCAGCCGAGGTTCAGTTCCCTGGCACAGACCTACACCACTCTATCAGTGGCCATGCTGTGACAGCAGCTCACATACAAAAAAAAAGAGGAAGATTGGCACAGATGTGAGCTTGGGGTGAATCTTCCTCAGAAAAAAAAAAAAAGTGGAGTCTATTTTCCACCCTTTGAATCTGAGCCTGGGCATGTGTCTTGCTTTGGCCAAAGGGACATTAGAAAATAAATAGCTATTGAGAAGTGCTTGTACATTAGGCCTTGTCCCTTCTTAGGACCCCTGCCACTGTGTCTATGAGCCCCAACCAGGCTGGAGATGGGTTGCCTGGTTATCTCCATTGGCCCAGCTGACACCCTCTTTTCTGTATCCTCTAAAAGATGAATCTCCCCAAAACACAGTTTTTCTCCCCTGCTGAAAGCACTGCAATGCACTTATTCCCATTAACTGTAGAAGAGAATCAAACTCTTTAACTTGGCCTTCAAGACCTCAACTTCTGGGCCCCACGCTGCCCTTCCAGCCATCCTCCCCACTTCTTTCCTAAAGAGCCCTTTCCAGGAGCCTGGCTTCCTCCTCTCTCCACCCCCACTGTCTGCCCGGTGCCCAGGCCCTTTCCACATTCTTACCCATTCCATGTTCCCTTTCATCCTGTTTGGATTCAGTGTTACCACCCCTCAGTGTTCACACCGACACCTGCTCTCTCCTCAGAGTCTCCTGACAATCCCGGTCTCTTCATTCACTCATTCACTCAAAAACACAGACACACAGGGAGAGGAAACTGCCTCAGTCCTGCTCTCATAGAGCTTACAGTCCAGGGAGAAACAGAAAACCCACAACGTTATGTTCTCAGCCCTTCCTTTGACACTTAGCACATGTGCCCTTATATTTTAAGTCAAATTTTGTGTGTAGGTGTCTATCTACAGCCAGAATATAAGCTCTTTAAGGTCTGGAGTATCTTTTCCTGCATCTTGCAAACCCCTGCGTGCCTCCTGCAGTACCTGTTAGAATACCGTGCACAGGGGCGACACCTAACACATTTTTATTGATCTGGAGATCAGCTGCCCTGAGAAATTTCCCGAAGCTCTTCAAACTTCAGTAAGTCTTCAAATTTCTGTACCAATGTAGCTGGTTGTATGGACATTGCCAACATTTCCGCCATTACCCATGTGTCCACAACTGAGAATACTGTGTGTTACTGTGTACTCCACTATTACGTCACGTCCTTGAAACTTTCAAAATTCAGGATAAGTCCCCCCACTTCACAAGGCCTTGCTTTGATTCTCTTGGTCACAATAAGATCAAAGTTTTGAGACAAAAGGAAACAGGGACCTTTTTTTACCCCTCTTTATGCTCTATACAAAACCAAGCCAAGTGATACTCGGGTGTAACCTGCATTCCTTCCAGCCTCTGCCAAAGGGGTTTTTTTCCCTTTTCCAAACACTCGCAGCAGGAGATATGAACAAGCGAAAGTCTGGAAACAACCCAGCTGTCCATCCACAGTGGAATGGGTAAATAAACTGTGACGTGTTCCTGCAGTGGAACATTATCCTGGAGGGAAAAAATCGGTGAACTACAGCTGCGAGGAACAATAGGGATGAACCTCCGAGACAGTGTTGACAATAGAAAGTCAGAGAAGAACGCACACAGTATGATTCCTTTCACATAAAGTTCAAAACCGTGCAAAAGAAAACAAGGTATTATTTAGGGATACAAACGTGAGTAGAATTATGAAGAAGAGCAGAGGCATGATAAACCTCTAAGAAGGGAGAGCAGAGAAGAGATTGGTGAGAGGCATTCAGGGGACTGCAAAGAGAATGATAATGCTCATTTCTTAAACCTGGGCGAGTGTAGTTCACAACTCCTTGTTGTATGGTTCTTATGCATTCTCTTTCTATATATGCATTATATATAGATATAGATTAGATGAATCATGTCTTAATAAAGGAATTGTTTTAACAAACACCACTGTCTGGTAGCCTAAACTGTGGGTCTCTACCTCAACTTGACCGCTTGCTAAAGGGAGCATCTTACAGTAGAATAAGCACTAAGCAAGGATTCTGGAAACCAGGTGCCAGTTCTGCTATGAACGGGCTGTGTGACCTTCTGGGCCTCAGTTAAATTAACGATGCCTCAGTTGCCTATCAGCACTAAAATTCTGCTGACGGTCTTAAAAATTAGTTTGGAAACTTTCCACGCAAACCCATGTTTCTGTTGGAGTTTTAATGGGTTAGGAGGAAGAAGAAGATGGGCATCAGATGCTTCACTCCACACCCGAGGGCCGTCCTGAATTCCACACTGCCCCTGGCATCCGACAGCCAACCCACCAGCAAAATTGCTGACCCTCCCACCGAAACATGTCTTGAATCCAACCGCTTCTCACACCTCCCCGGCTGTCTCCTGGTCCAGGCCGCCTCATCTCTCAAGTGGCCCCTGAGCTGTGTCCCTGCTTCTGCTCTTCCCAGTCTCTCATCAGTTGCCCCCAGCAATGCATTCCAAGTGAGAAGTGTGTAATCAGATTCGCCCCTCCCCCAGAGATCCCCATCACACTTAACAAACCCTAACCCCCCATGAGACCTGCAGGGACCCCAGGACCCGCCCCTGCCCACCTCTCCAGCCTCCTCTCCACCACTCCTCTCCCCTCGCCCCGCCTCAGGGCCTTTGAACTTGCTGTCCTTTCTGCCCAAAATGCTCTTCCCTGTCACAACTGCCCCCTTCTCCTCACCAGGCAGCATAAATGTTACCACCTTAGTGAGGCCGTCACAGACACTGTAGCTACAGCAGCCACCCACACCCAACCCAGTTATGCTCACTTGCTCCACCTTATATAACCTTCCTCAAAACAGGACCATCGACATGATTTATGTGTGGGTTTGTTTTCTGTCTGTCTAGTCTAGACATGGCACAGACTTTGACTTGTTTACTATTTTCCAACACCACGCACAGTGCCCAGCACACATTAGGAGCTCAGTGAGCCATTGTTGGATAAATAACTAAATACGCGAATGGGAGAAAGATGGGGTAGTGGGGCACAAGCTTTTGTAGAAGAACCATCACATTCCAGGCATCTCACATTCGTTTTGTAGTTTAACTATAACAATAACCCTGCAAAGCAGGTATCATCAGCTCCATTTTACCTTTGAAGACACCCACACAGGGGCTCCCGGGGCTCAAGGCTTGGAGAGGGTGAGCAACCTGACCTAGTTTCCGTGGTCCACATTGGCACCTCCGCCCGTCTGGTTCATTCGCTCCTGCTTTTTTCACAGTCCCTTGGCTGCCCGCCAGGCACTCAGACCAAAACCTTGCATCCTCACGGGTGACACATCACAGAA